GGGACTTTGAGTTGCCTTTTCCTCTTCCTTTTCCCTTTTCCCTTTTCCCTTTTTAAAGAGCCCAGTGCAAGGCGACTTGCTCATTTACATAAGCATAATTTACACATAGAGTAGTTACGCAGCCAAATAGCTTTGAAAGATACACACCCACACACATACACACACCAACACACACACACACACACACACACATGTCAGCAACATGGCCGTCCTGCTCCAGCAGCTAAAACAGCAGCTAAAGTCAGCAAAATATTTATTCAAATAGCGTACGCTTCCCCTTCCCCTCGCTTTCCCCTTGGCCATCTCCCTAAAGGTTAATTTCAGTTTCGGCGAGGCCATTGTCAACCCCCGGCAAGACGGCAACCGCCCGCGCCGCCACCCCCACCCCTGCCGCATCAGTTGTGATGACGCCAACGCCGCTGGATACTGGGATACGCAGAGCAACCCCAAACAAGACGGAGCCAGAGCCAGAGCCAGACGCGATAAGCAAACTCAAAAGCATTCAAAGATTTCAAAGAAAATGGAAAATGCGAGAAAATGGGAGCAAATGGGGAAAATGGCATGGCCGCTAGAGTTCTCAGCCAAGACGAAAAACAAACATCAGCAACCCCCGTCGAAGCCATCGAATCGAGTTTGCCGAGTTCGCCGAACAGGCGACGGCATTTAGCCGAGCTGCAAAACACTTTTGCTGACGTTGTCACTTCTACATACAGTGGTGAACAACAAAATAGCATCACTGCCACATTTCTTCTTACAAATCAAATCCATTTGAAAATTATCAAACTTTTTCTTTTCTTAATTTCAGGTTACATTTTTCTAAAATTTAAAAAGGTATATTTAATTTTCAGCAAGCAAATCGAACATAGCTGATATTATTTAATTTAAGATATTTTAGATAAATTATATATTTTAGTTAGTAACAACTTACGATTTTAGGGGTATTCTAATCCGATTTTAAAAAAAGACAACAGGTAAACTATAATAGCAGTCGAGAGAGCAAAATACATTAATATTTTCTAAGAATCTGGGTTTCAATTTCTATATTTTAGAAATGCATTTCTTAATAAGAAATATTTCTAAAAAATAAAAGAAACAATATATTTTTGGTCGATTGTCGATTTAGGATATTTCCACAAACAAGAAAAACTTTCTAGTTTCTAGGGAAGCTTTAATATTGGGGCGATTTCTTAAATTTCGGGTCGATTTTTTTCCTGATTGTAGTTCGGCAATTTTTCAAATGTCTATTTTTATTATATTATTAGTTTATTTTGATTATTTTGATTTTTACATTTTAAAAACGATATTAGATGGAAAATTCTGCAGAGAATCAGTGGATTGGTTTGATGTTCGTTGGGTGCCTCAAACTTTAAGGAGCGGAGAAGCCTGAAGTGAACTAAACAATTAAATTTTTACAAAATTGATTAAATATGTTGAAAACGGTGTATAAAATTACCGTTTTTTTTCTTCCTCACTTTGATTTAAGAGTTTTTAGCTTTTAAAAACGAATTCTAAAAAAGACATCTTTGAATACATTTCTTGTGAGAAAGGTGCTCTTATTTTGTTCGCAACTGTACACACATACACACACATAGATAGATACACACCCAGAGCATAGCACAACCCCAAATGATGGAGAGTGGGTGGCTGCGAGGGTGGCAGCGACTCTGAGCGGACTCTGAACGAGCTATTCGCCTTGCCATAATATCGATCCCTTGTTGCCTTCGCTCAATGAGTTCTCAATTTACTGTGCTTCCGTTGCCTTCAACCTCCCATCCTCCCTCCCTCTACCTCTCCCCCATTGGCCACACTGGCCACACCCGTGGCACTGTGGCTCGTGTATAGATTTCGTATCTATATATACACGCAAAGTTGGAGCTTACACTCGCACACTCACAAAAAACATCGAACTGAATTTTAGAAAATCGTCCTAAAATAAAAATCGAAACTTTTTCTTCTTTTTAGAAATAAGTTCTCAATTTTCAAAAACAAAAACTCCGAATCGTCGTAAAATTCAAATTAAATAATATGAATTTTAAACCAATTATTAATTAATTAACTAATTATTAACCTATTATATACGCAATAAATAATCACATTTTATAGTTGCGCTTCTATGAAAAAACGTATGAAAACCCAATAGAAATGATTCATATTTTTTTATTTCTAAGTTTTAGAAAAATGTACCCTGAAATCAAGAAAAGAAAAACTTGGGTTTCTTTCATAATAATAATTTGCAATACCCTTGACGTCAAAGGGAAAGGGACTTTTTCTGAGTGCACTCACACACAACGCTTCACAATTGAAATGCATTCGATTTTTTGTTTTTTTCCTACGACCATTTTGCGCAAATTTTGCAGTTGTAGAGATATATACATATACCGATATATACTAATATATATATATATATGTATAAGTTGTACACAAATTTATGTATACTTTTGTTAATGCTTGAAGACAAGCTTTGCATTCCTGACATCGAATTTAACATCGAGCTGGAGAATCTTTGTTCGACCACGTTGTCATTATTAATTGAATTATAAATTTAACATTTTAATATTTGATGCCTGCCTTTTTCTTTTTCTTTCCCCCCCAACCCCCTGTAAACAACTTGAGCATGTGCAACGCGCTACGTGATATGCTTGGCAACGGTTGCATACCCCCGAGTTCGTGGAATTTTAGCTGACTAAGATGATGAGGACCTCAAGCTAATTTTCATTTGGGCGCATGCGAAGTTGATAATGTTGAAGAAGAGGGGTGGGGGGTTGCAGAGGTGGGGCACTGCACAGTGAGGCAAATTGTAAGAGCCTTAAGCATATCTTTGAAACCAAAGCATTATTTTGAGTGTTTCAATATTCTATTTATTCTGAAGATAAAGAAAGATTTCATATTTTCGATAATTGGAGAACTGTAGAGAGTTTTAGCTTGGACGAATTATAACTTAAAAATATAAGCAGTTAAGTTGGTATTTCGATTTTCAAGATCGCATATAAAAATCTGTCTTATTAGAATGTTGCCTAGCAAAATGTTGAGCACTAATCATATTAATCTTATCTCTTTTCGATGATTTGAAACCAAGATTATCTAAAGAATAATAAAACATAAACAGTCTTATCTACAAACCCATTTACATTTGACTTGAATAAAAGATATGATTTCATTGTATTTATTTGAGCTGTTGTAAAGAAATAATTTGATTTGATTGAATCCATCAGAGTATTTAGTGAATTGAAATAAATCATTCAATCAATTTTATTCGAGTCAAGTGCTCGTTAAACTTTTATTAAGCTCAGGATTGAATATAAACTGAGTTTGTTAAATTAAAAGTAAAGAAAAAGTTATTATTTGATTGGCATAGATATTTTTGTTAATTATTAATAACTTTCTAATTGGATTGAGTTTTAAACAAAAAGTTATGATTGCGTTGGAATAGATATTGTTGAATTCTAAAACTGTCTAACGCTTATTTCTTAACCAATATTAAACACATAGTTATTATTATGTTGGAATGGATAATTTCGAATTCGAAAGGAGTTTTCTTGTGTTTGGAACCAATGTGCCGCACCGAGTCAACAGCCGAGCGAGCGGCGGCTGTTCGATTAGCCAGCTGAGCGACGAGGCGGGCTCGAGATAACAAGTCGAACCGGTCCGTCGGAAGTCGGTCTGTCTGTCCATCGGTCCGTCGGTGTGTCTGTCGGTCTGCCTGTCTTTTAGTCCGATGGAGACATGCGAGTAGAAAGCCACAATCAGAAATTTAATAATGGCTGCACAAAAGACAGCACGAAGCGCGTTGACGTGCACATATTTTACGAGTTTTATACCCAGGCAACGAATTCGTGTTGTATCTGATAGATGCACATATATATGCTCCAGGCAGGCAACACACACAGACAGACGGACACATGGGCACATGGACAGTTGGACACATGGACAGTTGGACAGCTGGACAGACGGAGGGACGGGCAGTGCATTACACTTGCTGCTGCTGCTGCTGCCGGCAGAGAAAGGCAAAGGAGAAACACATATAAAGTCATCAAAAAAATTGAAAAAAAAAAGAAAGAAGAAAAAACAGAAAATGGCCGCAAAACTGCACCCTGAACAGTGTTTAGGTGAAAGCGGCACTCTCTCACCTGTACAGGCAGGTTCACCTAGGGTAATTTTTGTGTGGGTTTTTTTTCGGGTCCTGCCCCCGGGTTGATCTGCTGATCGTCAGCTGCGTTGGCAGCAGGAGTGGCAACGTCGATTCCTGCCCCCGATTAAAACCGAGCGATAAAGAACTAACTGGCTGTGTTTGGCTGCGTGTTCTTTTCTTTTTATTTTTGTGTCCGTTTTATGGCTTCATAAGTGGAACTTGGTTGCTTTTCTTGTTTCTGACTATTGCGCACGATTTTCCCTTTGTTCTGGCGAAAGTCGTAAACATTTTCAGCCAGCCAGCAAACCAGCCAACCAGCCAACCAGCCAGCCAGCAACAAGCCCTCAAGCAGGTTGTTCCTCGCTGGCATTTCAAGAAACTTTTCGAAACAATGAAGAAAAAAAAACAAGAAACGAAAAATATAGTTGTAAATGTCAAGATTTTGAAAGGCATCGCTTAATCGTGAGGCAGCGTCGGCTGACAAGGATGTGGATGCACCTGATAGACATCTGGCATCACCGGCTGGCCTTTGAACCCGGCTTTGGGATTGACTGGATTGGCAATTAGCCCAGATGACCAATTTCTCACGGCCATAAAAATTCACTTAAAGTTTTGAAATGAATTCATGATTGGACTGCCTGCCACCCAAGCAGCAAAAGCACCCTCCCCAAAATAAATCCACTCATAGCCAACGTGCATTTTTTTCTTTTTTTTTTCTAGCGATTTTGTGATTTTTGGCAATTGATTTAATGTGTCATTCATAGATTTTTATTGCGTCATTTTATTGCCGTCTTTAACTTCCGATTTACCACAATTGGCCCGCTTAGACTGGACTGCCCCACTTGCCACGCCCCACCAGTGTCATTCTCACTCGCGTCCTCAATCCTCAGTCCACGTCGTCCTGCGTGGCATCTTAACAGGGAAATCATGTACTCGCCGTACTTTACTTTATTTATAGCCATTTTTAATACCGCCAGACCCGCCTCCTGCTGGACATTTTAACGCCCTGTACACAGCTATTGCTATTGCGGAGTGTGTCCAGGACAGGGTAGGGGGAGGGGCAAGTTGAGAGAGCATGGAGCATGGCCACTTTATGTTACAATAATGTTCCCTCGACACTGCTGCAATCGAATTGTTTTGGCCATAAAATCAAAAAGGTAATTCGAGCAATGCGGCTTGGGCCAAGTCAAAACAATATCCTGGCCTGGCTGGAAGCAGAGTGTGGCTCTACTCTTGCAATCGCCTAGCTCATGCCACATGATTTTCATATGCAGAGTTCTGTGCTCAATCAGGTTCTTAAAATATAATTTCAATAGGGAATCATTATATTTATAGGGTCTAGATAAACTTACCGAAATAATTTTTAGTTGAGCTTCCGATTGAATGACTTTGTTTGTTTGATAAACTGTAAAAATAAGAGAATATTCAAGGAATCAGATGAGGAAAAGATTGGCGTATATTTAGTTCAAATTAAGATCAAAGTATTTATTTTTGAGAATCAGATCAATCAAATAAATAATGGTGGTAAATTAGAAAATTAAAATTAACAAGTAAAATAGGCGAAAATAACAGTCAATTGAAATTAAAAAATAAATATAAAATATTAAAACATAAATCAGACCAAACAATTAAATATTAGCATTAAATAACATTCAATTTGAGTTGAAAAATAATGGAAAGTATTTAATCAAGTCAAACCATCCAAATTCAACTTAAGTTTTAGAAAATCGAAATATTGAAAATCAAGCCAAATAAATAATTATTGGCTTTAAATATCGCAGGATTTTAAAGCATAAATCACATCAACTAATAATTATTAGATTTAAGTGATAAAAATAATCTGAAGTATTAAAATGTAAATCAGAAAAGACACGTATTTATTAGCATAAAATAACACTCAATTTAAATGGTAAAAAATATCGGAAGTTTTCAAACATAAATCAGAAGCACAATCTATATATACAATGTGTATATGTATAAAGATAAGATATTTATGTGTATATACAGTCAAATAGTTTGGATCTGACCTAACCACAAATGCTGTTGCATAACCATAATTAAAATACAATTTAATAGCCATTTAGAATAAATGTTGGGGCAAATGTTTGGGGCGGCACTCACCGATACGAGGAGGCGTTGATAACGTTGCTAGATAATTTATACAAATCAATACAAATTATGAGCTGGCAACGAAATGTTTATTAAGATTGTGGCACTCGTTAAATTGAAATCAAAACACACAAAAACGAATTTCAGCGTCGTAAATATATTTTTTTATTTTGAATGGGGGGGTTGTGGGGAGTAGTTATTTCAGTTAATGTTGCAGCATTATTGTGTTATTTTTGTTGATGTTGTGTATGATGAACTTTTAAACAACATAATACATAATACTTGAAAAACTCTGATTTTTATTGCCATTAGACGCAGCGACCCGGCCAGTGATAATACCTCCGACTATTGATATTAAATTGTACACCATAATTTACAAGTGCCTCTCTCCTGGCACTCGCTCACAATCGAAACGCGCTCGCCGCCGTCATCGATAATAAAAACAGTGAAATTGCAATCGGAATTTGGTATCGAAATCGGAATCGGAATCGGGAATAGGGATCAACACACACCAACACACACGTATACACACACACACATATATATATATATATGTATATAGGCACCAAGGCAAGGGCCAAAAGAAGACGGAGACACGAGAAACAACAGACAAATCAGCGACGCGCATGCGAGATAACGACTCCGAAATTGTTAGAGAGCAACTAACACTAAAAAAATTAAATTCAATATTTTGTTTGTTTAGACAAAAAACTGAACTGAAACGAAAACCGAACGAAAAAAACTGGCGAACCGAATGCGAACGAATGCGAATGCCTCAAGAGCGAGCGACGCGATCCAACGCCGAACCCCAAAGCAGCTAGCCCGAGTCAGCAGCTCTCACGTCAACTTTGCTGGCGCACTGATCTCGCTGATGGGTGGAGGGGAGTGGCAAACGAGGGGAAAGGGCAGCAAACAGCACACACACAAAGCATTTTTACATAGTATTATTTTGGTTTTTATTGCCGCGCCGAAAACACGTCGGCCAAGGGGGGGCACCAACGACTGGAACGAGGGCTGCGGCTCCGGCAGGGGCTGGGGCTGGGGCTGAGGCGGGCAGAGAGCGGCTGGCTGGGCGAGCTGACAGCGCGAACAAGTGTACATATTCAAATATGAGCGAGCGATCTCGCAATCTTGGCAGCGAGCACCGAGCAGCGAGCAGCTAGCAGCGAGCTGCAAACGGCGGCGAAATGGAAATGGAAATGACAGCCAAATGCGGCTCATCTTAACTTAAAGCTTGCCGACAAAGTTCACAATATATATATATATATATATATATATATATATATTTGTATGCATATATATTTTTACTTCATTTTATTATATTTTAATTATAACATTCTTGACATGTGCGCTCTTTTTGCCAGTCTGTGTGGGTATTTCTTCTTTACTTTTTTTCTCTGCCTCTTTGCCTTTGTGCGCGCCCCTTAAACATAAATACGGCTACATATATACATGATAAAAACAAAAAAAATAAATAAAAATATATATATATACTTGTATACTTGTTCTTGCCTTAAATATATAGTTGGCCCCTCCGGAAAAGATCGAGAATGCGAACAACTTCGCATGCCTCGACAGACTTTGCGGATGGCTGGCCACGCCATGCTGCCCCCTGCCCCTACTCTCCCCCTCCTCTTTGTCGCAGTCGCCGCCTCTCAAAATGTCACAAGGCAAGTTGTTTTATAAAAAAAAAAAATAAAAAAAAAAGACTTTGCTCAGAAATGCCGCCATTCTGTGTCGCAAATAGACAACTTAAAATGCTCTCAAAAAATACCCTATAGGAAACAAGTATATGAGAAGTATATATTTAAGTACTTTTGAATTTTTGCACAATATAAATAATATCACTGGCAGTTGGTGACATTTATTATCTTAATGGTACGGAATCCTACAATATGCATTGCTGCAGTTAAAAGAAAATAAAAACAATTTTAAAATTTGTTTTTACGATATTATAAAATAACACAACAATTTAAAGAGCTTTTAAAAAAATGTGGTTAAATTCGGTTAAAAAATTGTGACATTGTTTTTTAAACACAACAATTATAATAACTTTTTAATATTTAAAAAAATTAATTTTACAGTAATTAGTTTTAAGCATGAACCCATTTGATATGGTCACTATATTTATACCTTCACTTTTATATTTAATATAATTATTTTTAACCCTTTCTCAATAAATAAATGAATAAATAATAAAAAGTAATCAAAACTGAAGGAAAGTAAAAATCGAAATTTGGAGTAGCTATAAATTAACAAGAAAAATAAGAGTCCTTAAATTTCAATTCAATATTATTTCATTTACTTTTAATTTACTTTTTATTTTTCTGATTAGATAGATTAGATTGGTGCATAGGTTGCAGCAACTTTTGGCCCCTTTATAGAGAAATCTGTCTATGTCCAAGACGTCTTCATACCTATCTATAAATATAGAACGTTTCGACATCGTTTGTAGTGCTGATCGTAGCTTTATTCTTCTAATTAAAAGTGAATATTTATTTAGGAAATTCAAGGGAATGACGCTTATCAGGTTGCCCCCTGGTTTAAGCTAAAGCTGAATTGAAATTAATGTTGTTGTTGTTGCTGTTGCTGTTGTGTGTTGGCGATTTTGGCTGTGGAGGCAACATAAATCTTTAGCGGCAGCCATTAAAAATGCGCAATTGTTGTAGTTGTAGTTGCAGTTGTAGTTGTAGTTGGCATCCCTATTTGATATTTGTTGGCAGGAAAACCAGTTTGCGACTGACAAACGCTGCGCGGTTGCCAATCAAACCTGTTTCGGCGTCAAGTGCAAAAATTACAAAAAAAAAAAAAAAGCAGCTCTCAAATTGCAACTTAACTGAAAATCAAGTTAAGCTTTAATTAAAAACCTGGAAAACGCAATTAAAACCCCATCAGCAGCAACAACAGCAGCAACAACAGCAACAGCAACAACAACAACAACAACCTGTGCAATTAACAGCAAGCAGAAAAAAAAAATAATGTTTAGAAAAATCTTGCCAAAGTGTTGCGAGTAATTGGCCAAACAGAGGAGTGGGGTCAAAGAGGGGGGTTAAAGAGGAACTAAGCGCGGCAGCGAATCATTTTTGCTATTTGCTAATGCTTTTGCGACTGCTGCTGGCCATGAGTGTTCGCACACACACACACACGCATACACATAAGCTGATCAGTGGTGCGCACATCAATTGCCACGCCCCCCCTCGCCATAGAGCCACGTAGCGCGGCCTTGAGGCTAACTGGCTAACTGGCTAGTTGGCTAACAGATTGCGGCTGCTTTGTTCTCTGATGCAAGTAAACAAGTCGAGTCGAGTCGAGTCGAGTGGGCTGCTCGTCTCCTGGAAGCACAACCCTTCCAGCCGTCGTCACTCACCTCCTTGGAAGCGTTGTTGGCACTTGCACGAGGGCAGCTGAACGTAACAAGCGTGTTTCATAAATTGAAAGCTGCCGCCGTTGCAAAAAATTTATAAAAAACGCTGGAAAGCAAAAAAGAAACAGAGAAAAAAGCCAAACAGCTAAAAAAAAAGGCCACATTTAGATTGCAATCTGGCGGTCAAACCGGCTGACCGTCGGACACTGGTCACCGACCAGTGGGAAAAGCGCTTCCACTCTAAAAATGGCCGTCAGCAGTCAGCAGGGGGCGGCGGGGGCGGTTGGCGGGGGGAGTGGCAAGTGCGGTTGCCGGGTAAATGTACAAAACACAAAACGAAACGAAACGCGGTCATAAAACGCTTCATATTCGCGGCTTTCAGCAACAAACAAAGCAAAAAAACAGAAAAAGCAAGACAAAAAAATATGCGAGTAATTATTTTTATTAAAGAAGCAGCAAAACAGAAAGCAGCCAAACTGACAAACTGAC